GTCTGTCTGTCTGTCTGTCTGTCTGTCTGTCTGTCTGTCTGTCTGTCAGGAATGATCAGGAAGTCTCCGTTCTCTCCTTCAGACTGCTGTCGCCTCACAGTTGACACCAACTCAGTGTACAAAAATCTGAAGCTGTCCCAGAGCAACAGGAAGGTGACCTGGGTGGGGCAGGACCAGGACTACCCGGACCACCCGGACCGGTTCTATAACCACCCACAGCTGCTTTGTCAGGAGGCTCTGGTTGGCCGCTGCTTCTGGGAGGTGGAGTGGAGCGGGGATGTTTACATCTCGGTGAGCTCCAGGGGAATTGATAGGAAGCACGACAGCTTTGCTCACGTGTTCGGCTGGAACGATGAGTCCTGCAGTCTGGACTGTTCAGATCCCGACGGCTACATGTCGATCCGTCAGCACAGACAGAAGTCCTTCTGCTCCAGCACCATCTCCCACAGGGTGGGGGTGTATCTGGACCAGCCGGCCGGCTTGCTCAGCTTCTACAGAGTCAGCTCTGGCTCCCTGGTCCACCTCACCAGCGTCAGAGCCGCCTTCCCGGAGCCTGTGTACGCCGGCTTCGCAGCCTGGTCCAGGAGGTCCTCGCTGACCCTGCTCTGAGTCTCAGAGTGTCATCCTGTCAGAAACTCTGTTCCTACCTGCTGTGAACTGACTAAGCCCACAGGCTGCAGCTGTGAATTTCAGCAAACATCCAGCAGGTGGCGATCTGATTCCACCGCAGGCCGCCAACGCTTCAGGCCTTTTGGTTCGGCCTTCCAAAGAGCGGGTCAGAGTTTAACAGGACTCATTTAAGGCCCATTTTAATTCTCAGGACTTGATTTGTATGTTTGTGATTCATCCAAACATGAGGCTTAAGCACTTTTCTTGGTTTCAATGGTTTTTAAAGAAGAGATAAGCTGAAAGCTGGAGACTGAAGCTGGAAGCTGAAATCTGGAGGCTGAAGCTGGAAGCTGAGAGCTGGAGGCTGAAGCTGGAGGCTGAAGCTGGAAACTGAAGCTGGAAGCTTAAGGCTGAAGCTGGAGGCTGAAAGCTGGAATGTGAAAGCGAGGCTGAATCTTGAGGCGGAGGCTGGAAGCTGAAAGCTTAAGCTGGAATTTTTCTGCCTGTTTTTCTTTAAGTTCCGGCCAACTCTAATCCTGAGAGCTGTAACTTGTACAAGTTAGATATGAGTAGATATTTAGAAATTGAGGCATTCATGTATTTTTATCTAATCATAAGAGGAGAAAAAATGGACTGTGGTGACTAAATGATTTGATTGGGGCTGAATGAATCCTGTCCAGGCGGTCTGAAATGGGACACATTGCAGGACGTGGTGTTTTTCTCTCTTCCCCTGAGCTCTGAATAAAATTCTGCTCTGCTGAACTGCTGGTGTTGATTTCCTGGGTCAGCTGCCTGAAGGCCTCTGGTGGCAGGACGGACCGTGACATGTGACTGCTGTGGCTCGTCCATAGCTCAGCTCAGGGGCCGCCGTATTCTCTGGGTCACCGGGCTGCAGCTTGTTGAGGCTTCAGGCTTCAGCAGACCTGGTTGTGGTCGGCCGGTCCTCATCAGGCTGAACAGGGCCTTAGAAGCCAGCCGTCTACTCAGAACCAGCGGTGCAGAGGCAGGGGCGCCCCTCATGTGCTTTGCTGGCAGCCATCCTGAATACTGCAGCTTTGCACTGGAGTGAGGGAGGAGCTTCAGCTCTCTGCTGCTTCCTGCTGCTCGGCCGAGCCCTTTGTACGGCTCTGACCCACTGTAAAAACAAGGGACAGCCATAAAACCAAACCCGTCCCCTGGTCATGGGAGCGGGGCTGAGCTGGAGCAGCAAAACCTGACCTGGTACCCAGGGCTCGCCCAGGGAAGCTGACAAGGAGAACATGAAGAACAAAATTAATTTAGCCTCAGAAATGCTCTGGGGAGCACTCAGTGAGTCAGAAAAAGGGGTTGGCAGGGGCTTGTGGGTTCTGGATGACCCCCACAGGGACAGAACCATTCATACCGATGGGGTCCGATCCGACTGGAACCTGGAATGACTGTTTTAGTCCAGGTGGGTGGAGTCTGTGAGTGTCCAGGGTGGGATGAGTCCTGTTTTGGTGTCCAGTGATGCTGAGTCAGCAGGCGCTGGCTGGGTGCAGCTTCTTCAGGTGAATTGGTGATGGATTAATGCCCTATAAAGTCATATGAGGCAGCTAACCTCTGAGCCTCTGAGACGGGATGTCACGGGCTGTTTGGCGGTGACGGTTTCAGATTGACTGCAGCCTGCAGGCTGGGAGGGCTGAAGAGGCCGATGTGCTCCTCTTCCTTACAGCTGGCGGGCTGAGCAGACGCTGCAGAGGAGGGCGTACATGGATGAGGCTGAGTGAGTGGCTCTTTAACTTTTCCACAGGCTCCCAGCAGCCAGACTTCGGTTGGGAGGAAACGGCAGCGCTCGGCGGCCAGCTCCTTCCAGCAGTTTGCTGCTGCTCTCTCCCACCACAGACGAGCTCTGGCTTCTCTGAGCTGCTTTCACACTTCGCCGAACACAAGCCAAAACTCTGAAACTAGAGGCCTGACGTCAACGTCGAGTTCGATGGGCTGTGATCCGGATCGAATTTAAAACTATGCCTGTTTTATGAAGGATGGGAATTTATGTGGTTAATGTTTCACAGGGGTGTGCAGATCCAGGCCTGTGTCCGCCACCTGAACTCTGCATAAGTGATACAGGAGGCTGAATCCCCTGTGTTTTCTCTGCACAAAGCGTGAGCTGCTGGGAACTCTGCAGCATGGATCAGAGGGAATACCCTGAAAGACCTCCCTGTGGGGACCCTGAGAGCCAGACCACAGCTCAGAGGTGACACGACAACCTGGGACTGGCTTAAACCATGATCCATGTCATAGCCCTCACACTGAACCAGCTCTATCCTCAGGAACCAGTCAGGACCTGGACCAGGACAAAGACCAGGGGAAGAGGCAGGACCTGGACCTGGACCAGGGGCTGGACCAGGATCTGGACCAGGGGCAGAACCAGGATCCAGCCGTGTGTCGATGAAAAGCGACCAGTCAGTGGGGCGTTTCATTGACTTTATATCGGACCAAAGTCCATCAAACAAAAGGTGAGCTGTGTGTAACTGTTGTGTCTGATGGTTCTTCACATTCTCTGATGAGCTGGTCTTTTGGATCTGTATCAGTTGTATGTGGATCACATTTTTATCTCAGTCTTACTGACAGCAGTTCATCTTTACTCTCAGTACCAATAGTGGCTTCACCATGTGGAAGGTTGAAATAATGATGCTGTAAATCAAAACTGTTTTTTTGTCTAAGTCTTACAGAAAGCAGTTCATCTTTATTCTGCTATAACTTCGTAGAAACAATTAATCTTAATTATTTTTCATCCCAGGGCCTCTGAGATTTCCCCAGCTGGGTTTGATTCTGACCCAGGACCAGGAGTAGGACCTGGACCCAGCTGTATGTCCATTAAGAGCGACCAATCAGTGGGTCGTTTCATCGACTTTAAATCAGACCAAAGTCCATCAGACAACAGGTGAGCTTTGTGTAAATTAGGGCTGGGGTTTACCTATTACCTCGTGATACGGTACTACTACAGTATTTTGCCCACGATATCGATAACTTCATGATAAAGCGGTTTGGCGATAATCAATATATTATAAGAAATTTTATCCACGATAAATCCCGAAATTTGTCAGTGAAGAAATTCGACATTATCTTCACTGAATACATTTCACAGAAATCACAGCGAAGTGAAACAAAGTGCTGTTACGAACTGTTTAGGCGGACCCAAAACCACCCTGAGGCAAACGGCCAGTTAACAGGTTTTATTTTGACAGACAGGAATCTCCAGTAGGCGTGCTCAGGGCAGGCAGGGTTCGGCAACTTGTGATCAGAGTCCAGCAACTCAGCCAAGGGGTAATCCAATACGTGGTCCAGAACAGAGCGAGGGTCAAAGCCAGGGGAGCAATCCAGGGGAGCAATCCAGGGGAGCAGGCGGGAGCACGTAGTCAGGCAGGCGAGGTCGGAACACGTGGAGGCAGGCAGAGCACAGAGATAGACGAGGCAGATCTCAGGCGGGCAGACGAAGCAGACTGGGGACAGGCAGGCTCGGAAAACAGGTTCGATCAAGTTGTATCAGGCAGGCAGGCAGGCAGGCAGGCAGGCTAGATAACGCTGAAGGTACTCACAAGTTGGCTGGAGACGTTCTGGCTCAGATGAGTGATTGAGCAGGGTTTAAGTAGTGACTGGACCAGGTGCGACCAATGTCGCTGATTGCTGAGGTGAGTGAAGGCGAGCCTATTGTAAATGTTGTGATGTTCTCTGCTGAGCTGGTCTGTTGGATCTTGATCTATCAGATCTGGAACACATGTTTGTCTCTCAGTCTTACAGAAAGCAGTTCACCTTAATTCTGCTTTAACTTCATAGAAAACATTCATCTTAATTATTTTCCCTCCTAGGTTCTTTGAGATTTCCCCATCTGGGTTTGAGTCTGACCCAGGACCAGGACCTGGACCAGGAAAAGGACCCAGCAGTGTGTCCATGAAGAGCGATCATTCAGTGGATCGTTTCATTGACTTTAAATCAGTTCAGCATCCACCTGAGAAGAGGTGAGTTCTGTGAATCACCATGTGAGCTGGGCTCTGGCCTTTCTGAGGGTCTGTGGACACCAGCCAGTCCAGCAGGCACCCCATTTGGGCAGGAACCTCCACTGGAGCGGAGGGAAGTGGGTTCTGGTCATGTCCTGGATCTAATTTTGATCTGTTCTTATCTTAAGTCTGGGCCATGTCAGGGCTGTCTCTGGTAACAGAGCAGAAACTAAACAGGGATACAGTTTGGAGCTGGCTGATCTGTGAGGATCTCTGCTCTTTGGGCACAAAGCACCCTTTGGTTCTCTTGGAGCTGATGACTTTTAAACTTTCAGGGCCTTCTGAGCTCAGGACTGTTCGCCCATAAATTGATCAGACGATGGCCATGGCTGCTTGACTAGCTCTTGAACCTCTCCCCATGATGGAAATTGGGGGTTGTAGGTGGACCATGGTTGGAAATGTTCCACCTCCTCTGACCTGGGTTTACCATCCCCACCACCTTCGCTGAGGCAGTAGGGTCATTAACAAACCAGCTTCTTGGTTCTCCCAATCCCATTGGGCCCTGTCAGTTCTCTTGATTCTTATCAGCTGCTTGCAGAAGCTGTCAGATCCTTCCTGACCTGAGCTTGACAGTTTCAATGGTTTGTCCAAGGCACACAGTTACGGACCTTAGTAAAACAAGCTTCAAGCATGGTTGGATGAGTTTCAATCCCATTGGAAGTGGTTAAGATGGGGCTGACTTCCAGGTTGGGGTTAAGGGTTTGGGAATTTGTCTCAATGACTCCCCCCTTCATGATCCACGGGTTAGGGTTAGGCTAAAATGGTGTAGGTTTAATTTATTTTTTAGCTTTTTGTTCCTCACTGTCGGTATCCCTTTTAAGTGAAGTCTATAACTGATGTTTCTGAATCAGGAGGAAGGTGGAAAATCCGGATCAGCGCTGCCTGCTCCAGAAAAAAGTTTCCACATTGGGCAAACACAGCTTTGTGAGACCAAGGTCAGTTTTCAAAACATGTCAAAGTGTTGCAGAGGGGATTCTGGACCTC